AACAAAATCGATCTGTCCCAAAGTCACAATACTCCATATGATCTTGATATAGAGTATCAGACACTATAAACTTAACAATTTAAATATGGAATTTATGGTGATGTACATCATCATATATATGCCATCCTACTCGCCTCGTGATTATTATACTATGATTCGTATATTAAACATGTAAGAAGAAATTATGTTTGTTCATTGAATGTTAAATATTGAACATTGAATAGTAGAGATACACTACTCACTCACTAACACCCTATCCTATCCCCTCCCATTTTACTAAACCTTTGATATTCAATCAAGTGATCATTATTATTATCATCCCTGATTTGTATTATACCATTAAATTATTGTATATCTCAACACATAGAAAATAAGAGTCACCGCATTAAACTTTTAATTTATTCAACTTTCTATTCAAATATCTTGATAAATATGTAGATCTAAATGCTTAATCTCTGTGTATAGATTAAATATTATTACATATAAATAAGATGAATATCATCAGTACCAGTATCATTACCACCATCAACTCCACCAGTGACATACACACACACTCTCCATCTATAATTCCCTTTATACTCAGAAACAATTAATTAATTACATTAACAGTAATATTTATGAATACAATTCATGTTATATTCTATGTTTAAATAGTAATTTTCATTTATTTGTTTGTTTGTTTGTTTGTTTGTTTGTTTTCAATGTTGTTTAACCCAATTTTGTTTTCTTCTTCTTTTTGTTTATTTCATTTTGATTTGTTTTTCTTTGTGATAAGTCTTGCAAATTGAACGTTATATTCGTTTCTTAAGCTATTCTATAACCCCTATGCTAGAACTATACAGCGACTTGAACAACGAAAGAGAAGACATAAAGTATGCGAGAAGTACTTTACTCCAATGTTCATTTCAATACAGGAAATATAATGTTTTTTAAATATCCTTGAGTTGCTCGAAGATTCTGGAATGCTATTAAACATAGTAGCAGTATGGCAATTAGTTAATTAGAACCTCTACATGTGACGTTTCACTTCCTTGATATTTTTGGCTAAAACTTCAAATGAACGCTGATCAGAGGAGACGTTTCTTAGTGTTTCCTGATCCTTGTTTGTCTTTTGCAAGCAATTTTCTGGATCACTTCAACACTGTGTTTTTTTTTGTAGTCTCGTTGATATTTTCTTTTTTTTGAAAAAATGAAATTATTTTTGACAGGGTTCTCTACTAGACCTTGTCTTTTTTGGTGATAATTATGTCTCTAATGTTCATTCATTGTTGAATAGTTTGAATATTTCGGATTTTTCATTGTTTTTATTTAATTTGTTTGTTAGTTATTGGGTTTCTCAAGAGAGAGAGTAGGGGGAAGGGATAGGAGATGGATATATTGTAATCTCTTGTTTTATTATAATTATTATGAAGAATTTATAAGTCTTCTAACTGAACAATTAAATCGGTTCCTTAAGCTTTTCTAATAAACCTCAGGGTAAATCTACACATTAACATGAACACGAGAGAAAATGGGCGAAGTTTGAAAAGAGTGCTCTACTCAAAGGTATTAATAGAATCCCAGATGGTTTTAGACCTCTGGAATCATACTAAATATCGTAGCAGGATAGGTAAACGCACATGACCCTTCACTTCCTAGATGTTCCTGACGAACTACTATTCAATACTGATTTGACAAGATGTTTCTCTATGTTTTCAAGGCCCCTCTGGAGTTTGTATAGGAATGCTCTAGATCTCCCCATCACCTTTTTTTTTACAAAATAATACCTTTTTGAGTCTACTTGCCGTATCAATAACAACGATAACTACCTATATTAGTGCAGATCGAATCCTATCGACCAAGCTGCGATGTGGCCACCAGTCTAGGTGAATCGACATTGCGCGCACTACGTTGAGATAAGATGTTGGTTGGGAGCGGTAACATCTCTGACTGTGAAGCTAGGTGACACGGGATCGAATCCTTTAGGAAGCATCAGTTCTCTCAAGATTACAGGTACACCTTGTTGACGAGTGACAAGTGGCACGAAACGTAAGTCTAGGGATTCGGTTGACTACCTCCAACCATCATCTTATGATAACTACCTAAGTCATTTCTTTGTCCTGCCAAAAAATCAACTAATATTGCATTTGACTTTTGTACTGCTTATTATATATTCTTGTTACTCTTCGTGATGGAGATTGTTACTTATACAAAACTCATTAAATCAGTTGGTAATCAATTTCTGTAAATATACATTGTACGTTGTACTTTCTAAATGCAAAGTACTCCTGCAAGTTTGACATCAGCCTGTGTCTGCATTTACTCCTGGTAAAGAGCTGTTAAAAGTAGTCAAAAAATTCTTTTATCTGAATAGTTGAAATCACTCCATGACAATCTGGATCGTTCAGGAAATTGTTGTGACTATATTCTGGTAATAATAAGAAGTCGGATTTAGACAATGAGAGCAGTTTATGCTCCATGCTGGTAAAACCTGACCACTCCGAGTTGAGTATATTCAGCGACTCGGTATTCAAGTATTTAAGCATCGTCTTCTCTGAAGAATTAATAACATCCAGTGGCAACACTATTCTTAGAGTAATGTTACTCAAAACTAGATCAATAGACCGCAATAATTGCACATGTCATACATTCGATTAAATTAAGTGATCAAGAAACGTAAATAAGCCTGGTCGGGAATTCACTATCACACAATAGAAATCAATCAACATATAGAATTGATTAATAAAAAAGCTGTTACCAAATCCATAAAATTCTATTTTTCCCCATATGGCAAATAGTGAATATACTATAGAAAAGAAGGGATCTCTTGCTGTCAAATTAACTGCTCTTATAAATTTAATTCCATTAATAAATAAGATTGGGCTAAGTAGAAATAAAAACTTTTCTTCTGGTACAATACCCTAAAACTTCAAGATATATTTCAGTAAAACCTTTAGAACCATTAGATTTAAACCGGTAAAGATACGCAGTGAGCCAATTACCTCTTTAAATCCTTAAATGACACAGCAATCATTTACTTATTTCGTAAATGAATTACTGTCACAGTGTTTTGCCAACGTCTACAGTTGTTATTGCTGTGTCGTAATTTAAAATTATCTGAGAATAATTTGTAATACGTTAGACCAATCATAAATCAGTCGAATGATAGGTTCATGTGATTGGTCAGATGACTCGAATTTCTAACAAATAAGTTATCAGAAGAGGGTTTTGTGAAGAACCTAGTAATTTAATAGTTGAATTCATGAGTCAATTGAAGCTACACCACTATGGAAATCCTGGAAGCACTGGATGGCCGTTTCGTTCTGGTGCGCATCAATGATTCCATCCGTGGGATTCAAACTCAGGACTTATCGGTCTAGCGTATGAACTCTAGACCACTGAGCCGGCATCTGACAACGGTAATGGAGCAACATCAAGAGATGCAGTCCCATGCTAGCCTATCCCCAATAATTAGTTCATACTCTTTGTGTCCACCAACCCGCGTAAAGCGACGGACATTCGCTAATTCCCAATATCTGTTCAACTGATGTCAGTTTGTGACAATAATGATTATTCGAACTCATATTGTAATGTATGCTATTGATGTCAACAGTTATAAATAGTATGTATCATCAATCGAAAGTGAAATGCCTGACGGAAGACAGTTAAAACGATCATATAGAAGAGAATGATCGGTGTGAAAATAAAGGGACAATCAAGACTGAGACGACTAATTGGCATATTGCTAATGGATTGTTTATTGTATGGTCCGTAGATTCTTCACATACACATCTAATTGTCCCCGGTTATGTTCTCGTTCATGACAACACTATCTTAATAATATAAACAACACATTATGATCAGAATATATTGAACTAATATCAAATAAACATATTGAATTCATGTACAGAAATGATATGCAATATATTTTATCATTAAACAGAAAACATCAATTCAATTTCATTTATTCAATCATTTGAATTGTTACGTAATCAAAGAAAGTTTTATCCATCATGAAAAATTATTCCATAGTTTATTATTATGAATATCTTATCAAATAGTATATGATTATCAGTGTACTTCTTTATTATGATCTGTTTCCTTTTCTTTCTATTGACTTTGTTTAGTTTCACAAAAAAAAAAACAAAATGATAAAATACTCTGCAATGAAATAAGAGATCAATAAAAATAATCAATGAATTTGGTTTGGTTTGATTTAGTTGTGTTTTTTTTTTCACAAAAAAGAAACGAAAATAATCACCAAATCAATACTACTGGTAATTGTCAAGAACTAAATGATTATCATTGAAATCATTTGAAAAATATTATGCAATCGATTAATAGTAATAACAATAACAACGACGACAACAACAACAACAACAAAGATAAAGTGTGTATATGTAATGTGAAGCGAAATGAATATGATGTTGTCGGATAAAAATAGGGCTGAAGTGTGAAATGATTAATTTATCTCTTTTCCCCCCTCTCTCTCCCTCTCTCTCTCTCTCTCTCGCTCTGTTTCATGACAATATGGACACATTCATAGAGAAGAGGAAAACAACAAAAGAAAGAAGACATTTGAATTGGATACAAACTAGTTAGGCATTTGTTTGTTTTGTTGTTATTCTGAGCGAATCAACACCAGATTTTTATTCGATTTGTTCTTTTTTAGTTCATGATTATAAGAATAAGATTGAAATGATTCAGTTATGGCTTATCATGGCAACTATGTAGATATATATATATATATATATATATATATATATATATATACATAGTTCTGTTTCATTATCTTCTTCTCTTCTCACTTTATGTTACTGTTTGATATGTTTTGAATGAATGTTAAATATACAATCATTTCATGGATTTCTCTGATTGTTATAATAAGTATCATTATAAAATAGATATCATTTTGAAAATAGGATCCATTTAGTATATTACATATACATATACATATATATATATAGATAGATAGGAATTAATTGAATTCAAGTTAAGAAATATGATGTAATAATAATAATAATAATAATAATAATAATAATAATGTGAATATACTAATGATATAATCAGTAGTTCATGTAATCATTGAATTATGTATACATTAAGAAGAATGAATATTGAATAGATGAAATCGACATTTGTTTTTTCTTATCTTTTTCCTCTTCCTTTTTTTCTTTTCTTTATCCTTCTTTTCTTTTTCTTCGAGAAAACAATCATAGTAATGAACAATTATAACAAGGAATAGATAGATAGATATAATGATTTGTCTTCGGGGCCGAGGGGGGGGGAATTAAATCAACTCTACAATACTTAATAATAATAATCATTCCATGATTAAATCATTTTAAACAATAATGTAAAATAAAGAATTTTAAATCAATCAAAATTTCTTAAAATCAATGATAATCAATGTTGATGATGATCATGATCAAGATCGATGATAATGATGATAATCAATAATCAATAATGATTGATATTGTTGTATCCTGAGATTGTGTATATGATCATTTTGTATGTGCATGTGTTTGTGTGTGGTTATTTTCTTGTTTTATGATTGGTTTGAATGATTAATTGATTAACCAAAAGTTGGTTTTAAATTGAACCAAATTAATAATTTATAAACAATAAAAGCTACAATAAAATAATAAAAAAATTGTTGTAAACATGAAAATAATTGTGTATTTGATGAATTATTAGAATCATTATGATTTGAATTAGTTACAGATGATTGAGATATATCTAAAGGTGATGTATTCATAGAATTTAATTGATTATTAATATTGATTTTATTAGCTAATGGAGGTAATAATTTAATAGAATCAATTGAATTTATAACTTGATTATCTAATTGATCAATATTCATAATTTGTTGTACTTTATCTGTAACACGTTTCATAGATCTAATAGCATGATCTTCAAATGTTGGTATTGTAGAATTGATCTCTCCACTGAAATATTAGAAAAAACAAAACAAAAAAAACATGGTTTTATGTCAATTATAAACAATTTATTAAATGTTAAAATAGTTGAGATAATGAATCAATTGAAGCGAGACTACAATGAAAAACCTGGAAGCAGTGGACGACTCATGATTTCAAATATTAAAATTACTATAATATTCACAACCCCCCCCCTTCTGATACTTATCGACGTATGATCACTAGTGAATGGCTTCAAGAGGTATTTCCTGAAGTTCTATTGAGAAACAGCGACCAGCGGACTTCAATCGGGTCAGTTATGGGATAGTAACTCACTGATGACTATGGTGGATGTGTCGCTCAATTTTGAGGATTAGTTGAAGTTAAGCATTAACACCGTTGGATGCCGGTCAGCTCAGTAGTCTGGAGGTTATACGTTCACACGCGAGACCGATAGGTCCTGCGTTCGATTCCAACGAGACAGGATCGTGGATGAACACTTCTGAGGAATCACAGAATAGAATAAAATGGCTGTCTAGTACTTCTAGGTTTTCCATGGTTGTCTAGCATCCATTCACTCATAATCTCAACTATTAAAACTACTATCATATCTAAAAACCCCGCTTCTGATAATAATTTACCAAATGTTGAATAGTTCGTTTTTTTATCAATATAAGAATGACCTTCGTAAATATTTGATAAACGTTTCGATAATGCAAAAAAATTATGAAGAACTTTCTGTGTTTGACGAATTTCTACTTACCTTATAAATGATCACTGTAATGACTCGAAAAACAACATTGATTTATCTGTGTTATGATATAAACTAAATACTTATCATTGTTATCTGTTGTTGATTGTAATGAAATAAGACTGTTATGCTAATGGACGAGAAAATGCAAAACTATAGAAAAAGAATGGTTTATTCATCAACTATTCATTAAATGATATCCTTAATATTAATGATAGTCAGTTAGTCGTCTACATATATATGCATAGGTACAACTTACCATATCTAATGAACACTACTAGATGAACACCAACTTCATAGAACTAGTTAATTTAATGGTAGCGAAAAAGATTTCATAGTCGGATATGATACAGGAAAAACGAATCCGTTCGTAGAAAAAAAAAACGGAGGAATTAGTTTTTATCTCACGGTTTAAGAGAAGACAAAACTTTTATACAACTATACCATTGTGGTCGATTCTGAGCCAAGTCACACAGAGTCTCAAACCATTGGCTACGATAGTTGCTTGAACCGCAACCAAATAGTCTACCTACATGACTCAGATCAGAAGTTAGTGACCTCATATTGATAATAACTTACCATTTTAAATATCCAATCAATCGCCAAGTTTGAATGAATTCAGCTATTTGTTAATCCATTATTCTAGTGTATGTTTATAACTTGTAAAATCAATAGACAAACTGACTTAACTAAGATATGATAGCTTATTTAATGAACAGTAATTGGTCGAAAACGTAAAGTTCCCGTGAAGTATGTCTTTATAAAAGATTTTCTTTCGTATATGAGTTACTGACTCTTTAAGTTTTCTGTGTTTTATACCATGATCAACAAATTTTGCGATTATCAACTATCATTAAATATTTTCCTTAGATAGTTTAATACTTTATTATGAAATTATGTTTGCGAACTCTTACGAAGAGAGAGATATATATATAATTCACCTTTTTTAATAATAAAGATCCAGCTTTGAAATCTTAGTAAATGTGTTTTCTGAAAATAGTTCTTCTTGAAATTCCATCAAGTTTTCTTTTAACATTTCAACATCTAGAAATTAATATCAGATAGCTTTTGTGGATATTATAGTAATTTCAATGGTTAAGATCATGAGTCAGTTGAAGTTAGACCACCATGGGAAACCTGGAAGCACTGGACGGTTGTTTCGTCCTATTGTGGGACTCCTCCGTAGTGCCCATCCACGACCTCGCCCCCTGCGAGATTCGAACCCAGGACCTACTGGTTGCGCGAAACCAGGTTTTCCATGGTGGTCTCGCTTCAACTGACTCATGATTTAGAAATTAGATGCTTAATCTGTTTTCAACTTCAAATATAAATTTCATTCCAAAACAATAATTTGATGAATATCTTTAGAATATGACATAGATATTGATTAGCTCACCTACTCCTATAGGGCTGGGTATATCGTAAGATCAATGTCAATTCCTTACAAAAGGATTGATGAACATTACTCAACTTTATTGAGAAAAAATACACATAAATTTATCAATAAGAAGTTAAATAGTTATACACCCTAAACGCGGGTTATTCGATCTAGTCAGTTTCAATGTTCCGAGTTAATAATAATAATTAACTGTGACATAGAAGAAAGAAATATACCAAATACTCGAAATTCAAAACTGTTAACTTTCATTTGTATTTAGTTCATATTAAAATTTGTAAGAGAAATATTGTTATACTATAGCAACTCACATGCAATTGAGTTTGCTCTCACTTGACTCGGTTAAGCCCTTTTGTTAACTTATTTATCGGACAAAGTCATCCATACTATAACAACTAATTGTACATTTATTATTGTTGTGCTTGTATGAAATATGTATGCTTGAACACAGCTTACCACCTAAGCATATATTCATTCTGCTAGCTTTTATATCATTAGCTGCTTAATTGATTTGATGATCCATTCATCTCCCTATACTTTACTATTTCGATTCGCTGACTCACACATTTGGCTCTCTGCTCTGTGATCTGAGTTATCTGCTAATAAAACTGTAGTTGCTGCTTTTTTTAGCCTTCTGATTTCAAATACCGCTGAGGATTATATGATAACGGTTACGAGGGTGATTGGTTAACGAATCACAGCCACTACAATACAATCAAAAATTGTGCTTACAGTCGTATATTTAAAAAGAAAGATGTGTTACCTATTCATTCAAAACTAATATCTTTTTGAACTAAGTTATATTAATTATGCACCTAAATACATATTCATTGTTTGAATAGAGCAAGAATAAAAAGATTCCAGTGGAATAGCATGAGTAGCATTTTATTTCATCTGGTTCTCGTCGTCAGATAGCTTACAACCTGTAATACGTAGAAATCATTCATTACATAATGAGTTTAAATGAATTACATGAGACGGTTTGGTTGGAAGTTATATTCAAGACATAGTAGTATAGTATAGTAAGAGTGTAAATAAATTTAATAGACTGAATATAGTAATTGTATATACCTTATGTGAAAGAACATTCTGCAACATTGATTATGACAACAGTTCAAACGACCGGAAACAAATGATTCCATAATGAGTAAACATTGATAAGAATACAGTGAGTAGAGCTTAGTTGATAAAATAAGGTTATTAATTTGGAAGATAGTTGGAATAAAATTTCAATAAGCGAAACAACGGAATACTCTAGACAGAAAACTTCCAAAGACTGGAGTTTGGCTGTTTACTAATCATCTTGAAAGATTGCAAAGTATCGATTTGATATCGCGTTTCCAAGAGATGATTGGCGATTGCACTGTTTAGATTTTTTCTTTTTCTGAGGCTTTCTGGAACATGTTCAAAGAATCTAAGATAGACGTCCCTTTCTGTTTGGTCAATATAGCTGCTTTGGCAAGTACATGTAAATTTATAAATATAGTTGGTGGTAATATGAAAAGGGTACTTGTCAACCCTTGGGTGAGTTATTTATTGTGTTGTTTTATACATAATTAATAGTTTGGCTGCCGGATAAGTCCTAGCTAACGCAGTGTTCAGCTTCTTGCTGATTGTGTTTCCGAGGTCATCACCTTTGAAGTTGAGATTTATAGATATTGATTTTTTATTGATCGTAATTATTCCGTCTTGTTTTCTTTTTGTTTTTTATATCTGTCAATAAACGTTTGTGGGTAGCAGTTGTATCTTGGGCATTTCTCAACTTTCATCAATTCTTATTCCAGTTTGTTGGTAGTACATATCCATTCTACCCTAAAACATAGTGTTTTAACCAACGCTTTCTTGTAACTGATTGGACAAAAACTATTGAAATTCAGGTAAACTCCATTCTGAGTACTTTTTAGATGAACCGAATGTTGAGCTGTCCCGTCTGCTCTACGGTTTATAGCAATATGATGAAAGTGTAATATGTCATTCTGTTTGTGTTCCACAGTAAATTGTGTATTAGGATGATCATTATTGAAGAGTTCTAATAGGTGAATTGTATGCTGTTTATTCTTACAGACAATAAACGTGCCATCAACATATCTGAAGTATTCCATCATTTTATTTCAACTACCTTCCAAATTAATAAACTTATTATATCAACTAAGCTCTAATTGTAAGCTCTACAGAACACGAATGGGGACAATCGAATGTATTTAACACAAAATTACATGACTTGTTAATAAAATCTAACAGTCAAATAGTAAATATGTAATTTGCAAAATGTCCATCAATTGTCTCATAATGACTCAGATTTCATTATTCTTGCATTTTCATACAAATTGCATTCTGTTACCATTCTTTATTGTTCGATACTCTTGTCCCTCTGTTGCCAGACATTCTGATCACGACTAACGTCATATACTACTTATTTCACAGGTTCAAATCATGAGTCAGTTGAAGCTAGACCACCATTGAAAACCTGGAAGCACTGGTTTGAAGCTAGACATTAACACCGATGGATGCCGGCTCAGTGGTCTAATGGTTAAGTGCTCGCACGCGAAGCCAGTAGGTCTTGGGTTCGAATCCCGCGGGGGGCGGGTTCGTGGATGCGCACTGCTGAGGAGTCCCATACTAGGACGAAACGGCCGTCCAGTGCTCCCAGGTTTTCAATGGTGGTCTAGCTTCAACTGACTCATGATTTCAACCTGTGAAATTTCCTAAAATCCCCACAAAACTCATTCTGATAATATACTACTTATGTCAATATAAGTAGCACACACAATATACTCAGTTTATTCCTATCAATGTTTACTCATTATGGAATCATTTGTTTCTGGCCGTTTAAACTGTTATCACAATCGATGTTGTAGAATGTTCTTTCACATAAGATATATA